TCCTCCTCCTCTCTCTCTCTCTCTCTCTCTCTCCTCTCCCTCTCTTAAGAATGATGTTTTATTTTTCGAAACAAAAAAAAAAAAATTAAAAAATAAAATAAATGAAAAATTTTTGATATTTCATTTCCCAGAGCAGAGAACTGTACTCGTGCAGCTGTTTGGTAAAAGAAAAAAAGGGGAAAAATTAAAAAAAAGGAAGGAATGTTTTTCTTATCATTTACATTAATCATTTCACTATCACCATTTATAGAAATAAATATGAGGAAGAAAAAAAAAAGGGAAAAGATTTGGGTAAATTTTTATTTTTTCATTTTCTTTTTCAGCTACATTTTTTTTTTCTTCTCATATTTATTATATATTTTTTTATCACCATTTTATCATATATTGTTATCACCTTTATCACCGCTGTTATCACTTTATCATCACTGCCACCATTTTACCATACATTACTGTCAACTTTATCACCGCTATTATCACTTTATCATCATTGTCATCACTTTATCATCATTATCATCACTTTATCATATACTATCGTTATTTTATCACCACTATTAACACATTGTAATCCCTATCATCACTTTATCATCCCTGCCACCACTTTATCATACACTATTGTCAATCATCACTATCATCATATTGTAATCTGGATCATCACTACCATCACATTGTAATGTTTATCATCACATTGTCATACACTGTCGTCATTTTATCACCACTATTATCACATTGTATTCCCTATCATCATTTTATCATCACTGTCACCACTTCATCATACACTATTGTCAACTTTATCATCACTATCATCCCATTGTAATCCCTTTCATCACTTTATCATCGCTATCACCACTTTATAATACACTATTATCACATTATCATCACCGTCATCACTTTATAATCATTGTCATTACTTTATCGTCTGTCACTACTTTGTTATCACTATCATTACTTTATAATTACTTTATCGTGCATTCTTACCACATTAATATTATCACTTTATCATTACTATCATCACTTTATCATCTGCCACTGCTTTATTATCATTATCATTACTTTATAATCACTTTATCATGCATTCTTACCACTTTTTCATTGGTTTTATCGCCTTATCATTATTATCATCACTTTATCATTACTCTCATTGTTTTATTTGAAAAAAAAAAGTTTCACCAAACTTATGCGTTTATTTCTAACACAACAATACATCATGGATATTTAATGGCGATAGACCACGAATATATCGGATATTTAATGACTTCTATATACCTACCTTTTTTTTTTTTTTGCTAATTTTAAAAATTTACCTATCTTACCTTAATTGTCTAACACTTTATTTACTTCTATAAATTTTCAGCTTCATTTAACTTTATTTACCTTTCTATTGGTTCCCTATATTCGTATTTC